GTATATGTCTTGAATAATATTTGTAAAAATACCCTCCAAATTCTATTTTCAGAATGGCTAAAACATTGATGAAGGCAAGTAAGTATCAATAAGTGAGTCCTAAATTAGAAATTAAAATAATAGAAACAGGGCCCATCCTTAAGAAGGCCAGCAATACTTCAAACAATGTATATTTGAAGAGTGAGCTGCAGACCCAGGAATTCCCCTACCTGTTTTCCTGTGTCAGGCTAAAGTTGATGGGACCCTTCGTTGTCTGGGTGCGGAGACATGGAATGCAGCCAGCACAGATCCCTTGCGGTGAGTGTGGTGGGCTGTTCAAAGCTGTGCAGGGAGTCTGAGGTGTGCCTCTGTGCAGTGCCGTGCTTCTGGAAGGCCCTCTTGCCCCATGCAGCCGGGGCTGCTCTCTCTGCTGTAGTGTACAGTGCCCCACATGGATTCGCTCTGCCACTGGCTGTCTGAGGCTGAGAAGAGATTTATTGGCAGGGCTGGTGGTCTGACCCTAGTATTTTTGTTCCCAACATCTCAAATAGTTTTTGCATGGGCTGTATTTACTAACTCCAAGTTTATTTTGCCAAGGTATTTTTCCTCTTAATCTTTTCAATCCATCTGTGTTTTATGAGCAATTAAACCCATCAATGGTTTTGCTTTGTTTCTGCTTAAATTTGTCTGAGCCGTGTTTGATGTTAGAGAATGTCCCGAGCCCTTTGGCAACAACAAGAATTCACACTGTGATGAGGTAAATCAGGTCGCTAAGAGAGTGTCTTTGGAGTTTGCACCCATCAGTCGAGCGGCCTTGCTACTGCACGTGGAGCACCTCTAGTTCCACAGTCAGGCGGGACCTCCACATCCTCTTGGCTACACTGCAGTGCGTCACATCCATTCACCCCACTGGAGTCCCAGACCACATGGCATCGGGTCACAGCACGACCCTGCATAATGTGCCTGTGGGGCCTCATTCCCCTGGAGGAGGGGCACCCTAGAGCGAAGCCTTTCACTGCCTGTCCTTGGAGGGGAGAGGTCATTCATTTTCTACCAAGTTGATTACACAGGTTTTCTTACTGCGGTCTGTTATAATTAAACGACTAATTCCTGTCTTGGAAAAGAAAAAAAGACCATGCCTCATCAGTTAGGTTTGGACCCACATTCTTTGAACCCTGAGGGTTCAACATTGCTTAGTGAAGTCAGTCTTTGAATATTGTCAAACACGAATAAACTGACCTACTGAATCAACACACACACACACACACACACACACACACACACACACACACACACTTCTGTGTTATGAAAGGAATGGCTTATAAACATTTTCAACTTTTATTTTGGGCTTATTGAGAAATTTTAGATTGAGAGACCAATTGAAGTAATCTCATTTCTGTTTTGTGTTTGTGTGTGAGCTAGTTTAGTTAGTTTTACTCTCTAATACTCAATACTATTCTACTTCTAACATTACAGAGTCCTGTCACTATTCCTAAATTGTACCTGAGGTAATAGGGCAAAATCCCTAGAAGTTACTGTTGCTCAACTCCCGAGGTCAATGGTGAGGAAATGAGACTAGAAAGGTTGAAGTGTTTATCCAGACACAGCTTAGAGCAAAGCTGGTGCTAGAACAAGGTCTCTTGGGTACTGATCCTGGGTTCTTTCTATTACAGGCATTGATATTAGTGTTTATGTCTACACACACACACACACACACACACACAGTCACATACACACTAAAAATCTCTTTGGAGGGAAGAAGAAAGAGGGAAACTTGCTAAATCCCAGAATTATTAGTGGGCCTCTTTGAAGGTCATAAGTCATCCTACCCCTGCCACCTCCCTATCCTAACCAAAACAGAGGTTTAGGTGCCCACCACAGTGAAAGCCAAACTGTTCAGACAGGTGTTGCTGCAAAAGGAAAAAGGTTTATTCAGGAGCTGTGACCTGGGAGAATGGAGGACTCCAATCTCAAAGACCATCCGCCCTTCCCGATGAAGCTCACAGCAGTTCTCATAGGAAAGGAAGGGAAGGACTTTTTCTGTCCAATTATCTTGCTAGTTTTTGGAGTGCTGGAGCTTTATCCATTAATCTTTCTAGCTTTTGTCACACTCAGTGTAAGAACGTCCCCCTGCACCATCTTGGCCAATGGGGGAGACTCCCAGTGCTCCCTGACTGTCTACAGTAACACTATCTGCCCTCTTCTCCACCCAGTCTTCTATGAGGTAATTTCTACCTGGAATTTATGTAAATAAAACTGTTGATTTATCTTAAAAGTGGCACCAAAAGGTGCTCCAAGATCATCTTATATTCTCCTTGTCCCAGCCCTAGAATCAGCCATTTTTCTAAGGAGCAATGGTTTCTTTTATTGGAGAAAGGTGTTAGAAACCAAGTTCTAGGTGTTGAGTGTGCTCATTTCTGCTGGTGTCAGGGCTTCCAGGCCCTCTCTTCTGCACAGAAATAGAAAATAATGTACAAGCATATTATCATGTCATGCATGCAAATTTATTTCTGTATCTACCTATTTTATACATATTAAAAAACAAGACTTCAGGTTGATTGTTATCTCAGACGCTAATAGGGAAGAACAGTTTTCACTCCAGCATCTTCTCCTTGCTTATTTGTACCTCTTTCTCTGTGGGAGAATCCTGTGTCTCATTATCTACTGATTTATTTAACCCTGGTGTAGAGGAAAGGTAGCTCCAGAATGGCTAACCACTGTTCCCATGAGAAACACAGTACCACCAGAGCACACCCCTGGGAAGACTCTTTTTGTCTTTAATCTTACAGTATCTGGTCCGAAATATCCTTTTAAAAATAGCAACCCTTACCCCTCATAGCCACCCCACTTCTAACCTCTTAATCCCCCTTGACTTTGCTCAATGTTTTCATAGCAGTAAGCATATTCCGATACATGATACACTATTTGCATATTTATTAAGTTGTGTTTGTCTCCCTGGGTGGCTGGGAGCTCTGCAGGGGCAGAGGGCTTTGTAGGCGCTGCTCACTGCTGTCCCCCAGCACCTCACATGGCCCGGCGCGCAGTGGCGTCAGCACAGGCACCAAGCCACGTGGGCCCCGGTGTCGGGTACCCATGCGCACTCAGGTGACTGTTCTCTAAGCAGACCCAGGGAGGCTCCAATACTCCTACCAGGACTGTGGGAAAGTGACCGGAATTGTCCTACTTCCCACATGCACATCAGTGTCTTTAAGATGAGCATCGACCACTCCACTGACGTCTCCTGGAAGCCTGCTAATGTCCATAGCGTGGGAATCCCCAGAAACGCGTGCGCAGTCGAGCTGCCCATTGGAGCGGTGTTTGGGATTTGCGTCCAGGTGTACTGAACACACTGGGCTGATACAGGGTCTAAACACTAAGATTTTTTAAAATGCTGGTAAAATACACATGACATGAAGTGTGGCATCTTAATCATTGTGAGGTGCAGGCCAGTGAATACATTCCCATTGCCGTGCAGCTGTCACCACAACCTGTCTCCAGATGTGCTTTATTTGAAAACCTGAAACTGTTCCCGTTAAAGAACTTCTCATTGTCCTCTTCTCCAGCCCTGGGAGCACCATGCTCCGCTCTGCTCCATGACTTGGACGATGCTCGGTACCTCAATGACGTGGAATCGCACAGTAGTTAGTTTTTGTTTGTTTGTGACTGGCTCATTCCACTTAGCAGAATGCCCTCAGGAGTCATCCATGGTGTAGCATGTGTCAGGATTTCCTTCCTTTTAAAATGAATAGTATTCCATTGTGTCTATATATCGTATTTTATTTTTATATGTCAATGGCTTTGTAAGTTGTTCCTACCATTTGGTTATTATGAATAGGGTTGCAATGAACATGGGTGTACGAGTCCCCGCTTTGGGAAAAAGTGCAGAAGGGAGTTGCCTGAGCTTTGAGATTGTCTCGTGGCTTTCCATCTAGTTGGGACGTGCAGCCAAGGTTGTACCCCACGTGCTATAGGCTTTATTTACTAAGAGGAGAGGCTGGCTGGAATTCCAGGGGTCACAGGCACTCAATGCATGCTTATAGAATAAATGCATTTGTAATAAAGACATCTTGGATGCCACACAAGAATGTTCAGGATTCTGGGGGAAATGGAGTGGGAGGCGGCAACTGAAGGTATTTTGACCCTGGGTTTCCGGAAGGAGACTCAGCAGGCGCTGTGCAGCCAGCCCTGCACCTGAAGCCGCGTCTGCCGCCAGCCAGGCCGCATGCGCTTCGATGGGCTGCAAACAAGAAAAAGCAGGTTGAAATGTAAATCCAACTCACTCAGATCACTTTTAAAAATATTTCTTAATCTAACTCGATCATAGTTTGGTGTTTTTTTCTCCCTCAAAATACTTCTCAAAATGCCTTTGCAAGGAAAGTGTATCGAGTAAGACCTCTGTCTGCAGATG